CCTGCTATATGACCGCACTGCAAAGTAGGTTGACCTTGGTTGACCCTGTTTTACCAGAGTAACTGTCTTTTGTGTGTCCTCTGGCTGCAGCCTGCAATTTCCTGAGTCACCCCTCGGTTTTTTGTTACATTAAATAATTGCATTACCTTGGATACTTTCCAGCATTTGGGGCTCACTGGTGGACTCCATCAGTATGTAACATTGCCTGCCTGTCCCTGGTTCTTCTGAATTGCTGAACATATGGAGCAAAACCATTTAGTCCTTCCTCATCGCTAAAACAAACAAAATCTGCACCTCACCACGGTTTGGAGTGAGTGCTTGTCCTCTGTTCCCCCTGACTGCTGGGTGGGGCAGCTGTCCTTACCAGAGACAAGGGTTTCAGTCAGCCCGAGTTGGCTGAACAGTGTCTGGCTTGTTCCTAAAGGGTGCAAAAAGGGGTTGGAAAATGGGACTGACACTTGGCCCAAAGACCCTCGATGTGGGCTGCTTGGTCAAATCCTGCCTCTCCTGGCAGCGAACGAGTCTTAAGCTCACAGCAGAGTCTACATGAGTAGGAAACTTTGTATGCCTCTAGTCCAACTTCCTGCTCAAATCAAGACTAACTCCAAACTAGATCAGGTTCCCCAGGGCTGTGTCCAGCTCAAGTCTGAATATTTCCTATACTGGAATCTTCGCAGCCTCTCTGGGCCCTCCAGTACCCTGGGGAAGAATATTTTTCCTTATGTCTGGTCGGGGTTTCCCTTTGCTGCAGCTTGTGCCCATTGCCTTTCACTGTGCACCCCTGGGAAGAATCTGGACTCCGTCTGCTTTATAGCCCCCTTGAGGCAGTTAAAAGCTGGAAGAGGATCCCCCCCTTCACCTTTTTTTCTCAGTACTGAGCAAGCCCCACACCGTTAACCCCTTCCCGTAGGCACATACATGCATGCATGTGCACATTAGCAGCGAGCGCAAGCCCTCCAGGAGGCTGCTTTCCTAAACCACCATCAGGCCTCCACTCACAGCAAATCCAAGGTTTCCCTGATATGCCAGCCCACCACAGGGTAGTTTCCTCACCAACAAGGAGATGTTATTGTTCCTCTGCAAGCTTGCCACTGGACAGGGGCTCAACACCCAGTCACATGAAGCCATCAGCAGACTGTCTTGGCCTGCAGCCCAAGCCCATGGCCCCCCTGCTTTAGGGACAAGAAATGGCAAAGATGTGCTTGTTTCTTCAGAGCTGAGCATTAAAACTCCTTTACCCTCCTGCAGCTCTCGTCAAGCCAGAATGACATCTCCAGAGCAAAGCCCAGAGAATAGTTTCAGCATGTTAAAGCTACCGGTTTCCTCCATTGTGGCAAAAGGAAGTATTTTCCCCTTTTGACTCTGTCTTCCCTCCAGCAGCCAAATCTGCCGAGCCCAAGAACCAAAGCTGAGTCCCACCTCTGTCATTAGTGATTGTCATGATTCTGGCCACTGGTGTCCAGCAAAGAATACCGCCCTGGTGCTTTGCAGGAGCAGCTGGCACGGCAGCCCCCCCACCCCACCCCCCCCCACCCCGTGTGAAAGTTAACAGAGCCTGAGCCGGCACCCACTTCCCATGAGATGCCCAAGGGAGAAGGTGTGGATGGACGGGGAGGTCCCAGTGGGTTGCCGCCTTTAGCTATGCCCCAGGCACAGGGTGAAAGACCGGAGCGCGGTGCCACTGAGGCAGCACAGGGGTGGGATTCCCTCTCGGAGCTGGGGGGGGGGGGGGTCCCACAGCCTGCACTGCATTTGTGTGACCATGCTCACCTTTCCAGTGCTCCCCCCACATGGAATGGCATAACTGGGAGAAACAGTCAACTGTGCAGAGGATCACTTGTTTAAAAGAACAACCAAATACCTGAGCGTTAGCATGCAAACAGGCAAAGTTCAGTAAAGCATTTACAGCTTAGCCTTGATGGACAACAGTTACTATTTGTTTGGCTTTCTGTCCCATTCTGCTTCTGAAATCTTGACATGGGTAACAGTGCAGGGGAATCCATATGCACTTTCGCTGCTTCAGTTGTTAAACGTCCACATTTTTCTAAATAAATGCTTGGGATCTTCCTGGTGACTGTCTCAATCCTGCCAGCTGAGATAGCTGGCTGTTTTAAATATCACACTTAGAGAACAACCCCCTCTAAAGAGAGCAAAAAAATCAGTGCTTTACTCTCATCACTCTCACGCTTTGTCTCCAGCTGACTCGTCATTCAAATACTTCAATTCAGCGTGATAACTCAATTTAGCTCTTAAATGGTAAGAGCAAAAAAGGTCTTTTTAACCCAGTATTTTAGCGACCTTACTATAAATGCAGCCTCACAAGATTCTCCAGCACACTAAGAAGCTAGATCTCCATACAGAGTCTTAGAAGAAATCAGCTGGAAATAACTGTGGGCACTGAAGATGCAAAATACTTTAAATACCATTTTAGGTGCTGTACATGCAACATTAAATAGCTATGGCTCTGCCTTTTTCCAATAATATGAAAAATGGTATCAATAATCCCACTCTTCATCCCATGCCGAGTACATTTTAAACTTACCCCAGGCTAGTTGAAGATCCTTCAGCACTGGCGGTTGCTAGAGTTGGGAATTAGCACAGTGCAAGAAAGGAGAGAGAGAGGAGAGCAATGGTGGCTTGATGTTTCCCAGGATGGGACTGTCACATGCTAATCACTGATTTGAAACGCAAGCATAACAAATGCCTTCTAATTATGTAATCTTCGGGTCACATCCTTGCATCCCCATGCAAAAATCAGGACTGTGCACTTGGAAGAAGATGATACCGACTTTTTTCCCTTTAAAGTAGAATTGCACACTGCTGCGAAGGGAGGGTGAGAAGCCTTGTGAAGTGACAGGCAGAGGGGGCCACGTGGTGAGAGCCGGGTGCTGATGTGGTCTCCGCTACTTCGCCGAGCTCAGAGGCTCTTAAGAACCTCCTGTGGCACCCAAGTGAGGCAGCCTGCAGTTGGGGACAGGGAGACGGGACCAGCTCCTCCCTGCTTTCTTTGACACCCTCAGTCTCCTGCTGTGCATGGCATTGCTAGGAACGCCAGGGCCAAGAGGTCTCCCCTTCTTTCATTCAGGGGCCAAGAGCAAGGTTGCCAAAGTAGCCAGGGCAGGGAAGCACCAACCACCAGCGCTTGCGTATTTTCTGTTGGTTGTTAGATCATGAAAAATTTCCTTTGAGTAAGAATAAATAAGGGCTTGGAGGGAGGTGGGAGAGTGGGAGGCAGGAGCCCTCCACGCCTGCTCCATTTCTTCACTAAGGTCCTGCAGGGCTTTTTGCTCTGAAGGGTGTCAAGAAAGCATGGGGAGAATGCAGGTAACCCAAGGCCAGGGGTGTCAGAAGGTTTGAGCCAGCCCAGTGAGTTACTCTGGAGTATAAGAGCAGGGAGACATAAAGGAGGACGAACAGTAACAAAAGGCAGACTAATTTCTCCCTGGAAGACAAAGATCTGCTTCAAATATACCCTTCAGGCAGAAAACCTGAAATGTAAAACCGCACAGCCTAAATCAGTATAATTGCTGTGCAGCACAGATAAATGTGGTGATGTGGAGTCCTAGCAAAGGCACTGAAAGGACAGGCTCACAGATTAACAGAAGCTCTGTGGAAGATGCTGCTACCTCTGAATTCAGGGACTAGGGACAGAGGACACTGTATTTCTTTTTCGGAGCTGGCTATTTCAGGAGCAAAACACAACAAAGTTGAACAAAATAAAATTATAATTCTGAAGGAATTTGCTGGAAAGTGCATTCTTGGTGGGTCAAAGATACCTATGAATTCAACAAAAAGCTTAAGCTAGAAAGATTTTTTTTTTTTTAATAAATAAAAAGAAAAACATTTAGCTTCATGAATCTATGAACAAAACATTTCGAACAGATTTTGCTACAGGCAGCTTTAAGAAAAAAAGGGCTGAAAAACATTATATTGCCAAATATGATATAATATAAACATCGCTTTGTTTCAGATGGCCCAGTATGTTTCAGTCATAATAATGTGCTGTTCTTTCATTTTGCTAATAAACCACAGGGCCCAAGCTTCTTCCGAATCTTAGCAAAATGAGCTGAGTATTTGAAGGCACATGTGAAGGAACAGCATTCATATATTGTGTCTGCAAATGGAGGCAAGGACAGGTATTTACTAAAACTCCATTAAATATCTGGCAAGCAAAGACTCAACACATACATTTTTTTCCTGACAGCACTGGTATATTGTGTTTGCTTTTTTTAAACTAGAAAGCAGTTTTTCTGCTTTGTAAAGCAAAGTATTTAGATTCATAGTGCAGAGACTTTTGATGACCAAACGCAAACAGAAATAGATTTCTCATTGCATTAGACTTTCTGGTGGGACAGTGGCAGCCGTCAGTCTCCCCTGTCTGCTCTGCCATCTATTTCCCTTCCCAGAGAAAAGCAGCTTTGGTGCACAGCTGAGGTCTGTCCTTGAGCAGTCTGGTACCAGAGCCTGGGGTTTATGAGCTTGACCTGCGAGGAGTAACTACCATGTTACAGCTGCACTCGCTCTCTGCCCTGATCCCACTATGCAACACCCGCCTTAGGGTAAACATGATCATATAAGCACTGTGTTTGCAAAAGCTTCTGTGGGTGGCAAGGTTTGTTTTCTGGGGAAAGTTATAAAAGTTGAGCATAGATAAGGCTTCAATTGTTGATGGCAGGTTTTTTTTAACTCGGGGAGAAAGACATTCCTAGGGCAAGTTGAAATAAAAAAAAGAATTCGAGTCATCAACTGCTCCACTTACTTACAAATTCACCCTATCCAACTTCATTTCTTCAAGGTTTTCACTTAGGAGACTTCACCTGATCAGTCTCAAAAGAAAAATAACTTAATTTTATTTGCTGTTGATATGCATCCTCAGGTGTTATTTTTAATAAATGCATGAAGAAATCAATGCATGCCTGTTGAAAACTGGTCACAGCTGTTAAGCCCAGAATGCAGAAAGCTACTGTCCATGCCAAATAGCTACATTTTCAACTTCTGCTTCAGTCCCGCTGCTGCTGAGCCATGAAATGTGCCACTCCATTTTTATCTATAAAGTCTCCTTCACCTTCCGTCCTGTAATGACAATAAATCCAGCCTGTTGAGAAGACAATCAGTTTGTGGCAGCACGGTGATGTGTGCACTACCCAGATAAGCAAAATGCCAGGAATCAGTACCTTCCCACTGTAGTGTAAGTACCTGCCTTAACTTTCGACCGCACTGTTGCCTGTAAAAGTTTTGACCTGCAAAGCACACAGGCTAGACAGCCAAAGAACACATTCCTTTTTTTGCAAAACTATATTTTTACTAATGTTCCTCTCAGCATGTAGCCTCTACAGGAAAAACTTCATAGTCCAGTCATGATTTGAAGTTACCAGGGATTAAGTCCTATGAAGTTTATCCTGACTTTCATTAGGGGCACCTTAAAGATGTGTAAGTGTATGCAGCCAGATACTGTGTGATCTTCTTGCTGTAAAAATCCATCCTCTCTTACCCTTTCCCCATCATGCTACATGCCGTTGTGACAAAGTGCAAGGATTTACAGCCTCCTGCGGGAAAAAAAAGTAACTGCCATGTGAATTCGGTCCTCATAAACCACGTATTTCTGCTGATCTTTGAAAGCTGTGATCAAGCTCATCATTACACCTGAAAACTGCTATAAAGAAGAAATGTCTATGTGTCAGCATCTCTTGCAAATGAGAGGAAAATAACTTTTAAAATCAGTTACTGGAGATTTGTTTCCCTTAAAAAATGAAGGCATCTAGCAGTCACAGCAAGTTGCTATAGTGCTGCGTATTTATGTTCTCTCATGAAAGCCACAGTCATCTGGTGAACTGACACCTATCTTGTGTGAGTAGGTAGAAACTAGCAATCCTGAAACTCGGCAAAATAGCCTGCATTGGGCTGTCAGGGAGTGGCACGTATTAACAGTCACAAAACAGTGTCAAAAAGGAGAAGTCTTAATTCCCTGGTGAAAATGGCAGTGGCTGGCAAAGATTGGATCTCTGCTGCCAAGGGTGTATCTACATCAGCATTTTAGTTAGTTGAAATCACAAGTTCAAATCAGAACCACCTGTTTTTCTCTACTGATCAGCTACTAGTGACAAGCACCGTGCTGGCCCCTTTGCAATGGGCTGTATTTTCACAGGAGAGTAGAGGTATCACCCTAAGATTTTTGAGAGAAAATGCCTGTAAAGCTATGTGTGTGATGTACTGCTGAAAGCCCTCACTGAAGTGATGAGTACTCACAGGTCCAGACTTCATGCAGAATACACGTCTGTCATGTAATATGACAGCAAAAGACAGAAGCTCTGTAGCAGATCTTAACATGCCACTATGATAGAGGCGTAACTTAACTCAATCTGTTCTCAAGCATTGAAATAAATGTCTAATTTTTCCCCAGACATTTGAGTTTGTCATACAGGTTCCCATTTTGTATCCAGGTACATTCTGTAACACATATTTCATTTGGTGTCTGATCATTTAAAAATAGAATTGGTCATCATTCTAGTAGTATTGTGGCTATTATTTTTGGTCAGCAGGGCAAGACAGAGCTTTTTTTCTGATGAAAGACCACATACTAACAAACATACATTTTAGATTTATTTCAGATATTGGACTGGGGAAGTACTGAAAAAAAAAAAAATTAAACCTATATCAAACCTAGCAAATTTGACAGAAAAGTCATTTAAGGAGAATAAATATGCATGTTCTTATGTCATTTTTTTATGGTTAATTTTCTCATTAAATCTGCTCTGTGGATTATATACTGGGTATCAACAATTTGTTTTAGGAAAAGATGGTATCTTAGCAATTCAAAACACACACCCTTATTCAAAAGAAATTAACTCAGCTGATGTTTATATGAGTGGCACTAAAATATTTTATTCCGAGTGATGAAAATAAACCTCCATGTTTTCTTATCGCTCTGAAATTTATACTTTACCTCAAAAAATAAGTAAGCACAAACTTTGCAAACTAGCAGCGCAAATCAGCACTGTATTTCTGCATGCATCGTAGGCAGAGATCTTGAAACAACAGCTCTGAAAGGGGTCCGAACTGTTCTATTTCTCTGAATTCTGCCTGAGCCCAGAGACCTAGTAACAAAAAGTGGGTGGGTGGAATAACTATCTTGAAAACTTCTGACTGGGAATGAATCACAGACTTTTGACTGATCTCATTAAAAGGATACAACTGCAATCAGCAATCTCAGATACCCAGTGCAAGTTTCGCTAGTAGCAAAAGAAACCTACTCCCATGCTGGGTGAATTTTATTTGGACTTCACAGCTTATGAAATCAAAACCAGTGGAAAAGACTACATGACTTTTCCACTTCAAACATACTTGTTTTCATTGAATGGTCTAAGGTACTTTGCTCCATTTGGAAATGTGTAGGTTCCAGCCCCATGAAACATGTTGGTTTTGAACTTGCCTTCATAAACTGCCCCAGAAGGATGTTCTAGTCTTCCAGTACCATTCATCCCGCATTTCATGAGAGATGAAGGATAAAGAAAATTATTAATGTTTATGCTTACAGTACCATTTCCTTTCATTACAATATCCTTTCAGATTGCTGCCTTTGAGTCTGCTATCATATTCAGTCTGCTATTCATATGATAATGGAAAGTGACTATCCTTTCAGATTTAGACAGGTTCCTGCTTCCACAAATATTTCAGGTAAGAGCTTAGAAGTTTTTGGCCAGCCACGGTGTCCAATAAACCCCTCCTCTGCTGGTAGTCTCACAGGATCTTAACAATCTATGCAGCACAGAACTGCTGTCCCCAGCCCTGCAAATAACTTGTCTACCCTGACAGCCTGAGGGGTTAATTAAATTTTCCAGAATTTATTTCTGTGGATCAAGGCAGAGCAAGTCTTTCATTTGTTCAGCCTAGGCCACTAAACCATGCCTGGGGATTTAAATCTGTGCTGTAAAGCACTTCTGTGCCATAATCTTAATTCTTATTGTTGCACCAATATTTTTGTAAGAGACTGAAAAAAAGGCCAGACTAGATCTAATAAAGCCACAAGATGCTGTTTCCTAATTGCAGACCCTTATTTGTCTCGTTTCAAGGACTGTCTCCTCTCCAGCAACAACAAAATAAGCATTTTTCCTATACTTACTAATTCATTCCTGGGGAACTCAGTAACCAAGGGCAGCCAAACAATGGTGTACCTGTCAATGGCCAGAGCTCCCCTGTTTCATTGTGGGATCTGTGTGTGGCATATATACACACGCAGGAGGGCTGTGCCTAGCCCACTATGTGTGCACAGCCCATTCATACAGGGCTTTCACAGTGGCTATGCTGTGCTGGGCACTACCGGCACCATGCTGCCTGGGTGTTTCACCAGGGTCTGCCTGCCAGCAATGACTGGTATGTTTGCAGGAGCCTTAGGAGGCAGCAGGACATCTGAAGACCCCAAGTGTCTCAAGGCTTCAGGCTGGGCTGTGACAAGATTCCCAGGTAGAAGAAGAGCCTGTGGCGTTGATCTGATCCTTCTCAGGTTGTGACTTTCCTTTCTGTGTCTTTTTAAGGATGGATACGGTGAGATATGCTCCATTCCAAACCCAGAGAAATTTTAAAATGAAGGAATACTTAAAATTACCTTGTCATTTTTCCAGCTGCTGACATAGGTAGTTCTGTTGGCGCCAGTGTGGACTCCATGACCGTTCTTCTCAAGCACACCCTCAGGTGTCCTTTTGTACTCCCCCTCTAGAAAACAAGAGTGGTGGAAGACAGGTATTTTCACTTCAAGACAGAGAGCATCTGAGAGGCAAAAACCTATGAGATCATGCAATGTGTTTCTTCTATTGCATGGAGCCATTTCTCCCAGAGCTGAGTCTCCATCTCCTTTGGACAGACTCCTCCCAGGGATGAACCCTCGGAGCACGCAAGCCCTGCGGGAGCAGGCACCTTTGGGTGCCACACACAGAGTGCAAGCCAGCAGCAGTCCCGTCACCCACTCTTCCACCACCACTGAGCCCACTGTGGGGGTGGTGGGGAGCCGACGTGGATCAGAGCAGACCCCAATGGACCATCGGGGCGGTGGCTGTGGCCGCTCTACAGGAGGACCCTGAGGAAACACCCCCACAGCAGCTTCTGTGTGTCTGGGAGGGGGGTTCTTACACAGCCAATGCAGTGTGTTACTTGGGTCATAGACCATTTTTGCTGGTAAAATTTTTTGCTTTAAACTCCAACCCGGCACAGGTTGCCCAGAGGGGTTTTGGAGTCTTCATCCACGGAGATATTCAAAGCTCAATGGGATGCGGTTCAGGGCAGCCCTTGTGGGTGACCCTGTAAGTGCAGGGGGCTGGGGATCTCCAGAGGGGCCTCCCCACCTCAGCTGCATGGCTTCAGGGTCACTCGTCACTTAGGTAACCCTCACCCTGAAACTGGTATAGATTTCCTCCGGTTTAATCCCATACACTCAGTTTTCCAAAAGGAATTAGCACCTACCAAGATTTTACTATACTTGTCTTTATTTGGGAATACAAAAGACACTAAAAACCGCAGCATCTGTTGAGAAAGAAACAACCAGTGTCACTGTTACCACTGTCGGCTGAAATTCAAATGTATATACACAAATACATATTCAAATACACAGCAGCTTGAAGCCGCACATAATTATCAGCGTGCTGCTTGAGCGTGCGGTTCTTTATAGGGGAGCACTCGGTCCTGTCAGCGGGCACCGCCTGAGGGGAAGGCGGCGAAGGCGGCGAAGGCGCGACCGTCCGGCGTTGCCAGGCGGAAGTGTCCGCGGTTGCTAGGAAGGCGGGCGGCCCGGAAGGGGAAGGCGGGCGCTTCCGGGTCAGGGGAAGCTGAGCCGAGCCGGTGCGGAGCGGAGAGGTGAGG